CTTCATAGCGAAACCATCGTTCAGAATTGGGAGAACACGTATGACGATATCTTCGTGCTTCTGTTTCTCGACTTCTCGGCGTCCGGAGCGCGATGCATCCAGCATTCCCGCAACGGCCTCGGTGTAGATGCCGGCCCAGAATGCCAGAAGCGCATGATGATGTGCTTGCTGCCGGCTCACCTGGAGGACATAGCTGTTCAATGCCGCCAAGAAGGGCTTATTCGTAGTAGCACTGTGCACGAGCGGATGGCGAGGTGGATTGATCGAGCCATTTTTGTAGGGAATCAGGACTTTGAATGTCGGCGTCAGGTCTTCGGGAAGGATGGCCAGGAGATTCACAAATAACGGTGTGGTATAGTACGGTAGGAATGTGAGAATCGTAAATGACATGTTATATTCGTGAATTCTGCGTGCTTTGTTAGCCCAACACGTCCGAGAAAACGAGTACTTGAACTTTGAGATTGCCGCTTTCGCACCTGAAACGTCTGACAAGCCACTCGACGGCCTTAACAGCAGGATTCAACAGTAACCGTCCTCCAACCAGAGCAAGAAAAGCCTCCAAGGCCACGTCGAGTTCCTTATTCTGAGCCGCAGTCAGCTGTGTGCGATCCTCGGCCTTGCTCTGCTCGCTGAAAATTGTGCGCTCGAATGCTGTGAATCGTGAATCCAGCTGGCATAACTCCTGGAAACCCTCGTAGCATATTTGGTAAATCGTGTCGAAATCTTGAGTACTAGCAACTTTCCTGTCAAAAATCAGGGACTGCGAATGCGCTATTCTCTGAGCCTTGAGATCGAGCTGGTTTGTCGACTTTGCCGCAATCTGCGACAGCTGCGCGGCGAGGGACGAAGCCATTGTCGATAGAATTTTGTGCTTTGTCGAGAAATCAGATTAGACACCCATCGCTCAACGAGCTCCTCCTTCGCTTTTCCAAGTGAAAGCCCTGTTGTTTCCTTGGGCAGTTTCTTTCCGTCAAGATCGACTAATGGTCGGAGCAACTTTTTTTTTGGTCTTTTTTCTCCAACCAAAAAAAGGCAGCGGGAAGCGGGAGCGGAGTTTTTCCAGCCAACACCAACTCCGCAACACTTGGAGTCTCCCGATGATGTCTCACGTCCAGGAGCATGGATTCCTCGGGCTCCCAGGTAAGATTATTTCGGAAGTTCACACTATATCTCGCGCCTATACTAATAATTGCCGAAGGAGAAAAAGTCCATCCCGCGGTTTGCCAGTTTCAAGCCTCCACCAGCTCCTCCGCCCAAGGCTGATCGGCCCTCCGATCGCCGAAGTCACGAGCCCGCCCATCGCGACGAAAAGTCCAAGCACCACTCGAGACATAGAAGCCATCGGGATCGTTCGCGGTCTCGAGAGCGTCGAAGAGAACGGAAGGAGCATCGTCCGACCCAACGAGATGCGGAACAACGAGATGTGGAGTCTACCCGCGAACCTGCGCGCGCACCGAAACCCATCGTGAGAGGGGGAGAAGATGGGGTGTCTGATCTGTATGTTATCGATCGCAAAGGCGACAAATACAACCTGATTTACGGGACATTACACCGCTACAATGTTCCCCTCTATCACCGAGTCGGCCGAGGAAACGTGCTTGGTCTTCCCACGAGCTACCGAATCGATCGTGACACGGCGGAAGGAGATGCGTTGATCTTGAAGACGGGCATTTCGCGTACAGACGCGAAGAGAATCAAGTCAAAGAGTGTCTTTGCTGGATTGGCGAAGCAACGAACGAAGCTTCTCCGGGTGAGAAAAGACCCTTTATTGGATGCCGCAGTCGAGGCCTCGAAAGACTACCTTCCGCTCGATGCTTCAGCCAGTCGGAGGCGCAAAGGAACACCAGAAGATATCGCTACGGAAGATGAGCGATATGCCTATAGGTCGATTCATGGTAAAGCGAAACCCGAAGATGACATTCCCAGCGACTTGGAGGCCGTGTCGGATACGGACTCTAGTGACGGCCGCCTTCGAGTGGATCCCGACGAGGAGATCAAGTCTCGCAACGCAGAACTCTTGAGAGATGTTGAACGAAACCAAACAGATATTGAAACATGGCTCCGTCTTATAGAACATCAGGAACTGCTTCTTAGAGGTTCAGAAAGGGATTCTCGCGCCTTGACCGCCGCGGAAAGAAAGAGCTTGGCCGACATCAAATTGTCGTTGTACGAGAAAGCGCTGAAAAAGGTCGGGGACAGTCCGTTCAAAGACGTCCTACTGCTGGGTTTATTAGAAGAAGGCGCAAAGCTATGGGACACGAAGAAGCTCTCGTCGCAATGGCAGGCAGTGCTGAAAGCGAACTCACAATTCATTAGCCTTTGGATCAAATACCTCGATTTTCGTCAGACGGAATTTCTCGATTTTACGTATGAAAGATGCTTCAACACCTACCTTGAATGCTTGAAACTGAATAAACTTGGCCCTGGAGGGCCAGGAAAAGGCCATGTGCAGATCTACTTGTTTTTACGATTGACTTGTTTTATCAGGGAAGCTGGATTCACAGAACATGCAGCGGGTCTTTGGCAGGCCATTCTTGAAACAGTGTTCTTTCGTCCAGATGACTTAAGTATCGAAAAGGACCAAGAAACACTCCCAGCATTCCTTGACTTTTGGGAATCAGAAGTTGCTCGAATTGGAGAGTTGGGCGCAAAGGGTTGGAGATCGGGACAAAATGCTCTCCTGGAACCCAAGACCTTCGCACCTCAGTTCAAGGTCGACTTGCGATCGATTTTTGCATCCTGGACCGTTTGCGAAAGAGAACGGATATCCAATTCTCAATTGCCCGACCGAAGTCTGGATGAGACCGACGAAGATGATCCGTACCGTGTAGTAATTGCATCTGATCTTCGAGAGGTCTTACCCCTCGTCTGGGACGTGGACTCGGCCGACCTGTTGATCGATAGCTTCATCTATTACTGCCAATTGCCCCCACTCAAGTCACCTGAGAACCTGGAATCGACCAGTCGTTGGGCTGGAGACAATTTCCTGCGAAATGAGTTGATGAGCAACAGGGAGATGACGATGGACGATTTTCTTCAGAATCAGACCGACGGTGCCGAGCCATCTGCTATCTCCCCATTGTCTTTTCCTCATGCAAATTTCATCCAAACCGCGGATACGCTGTTTGCAGACCAAGAGGCCTGGTTTTCATCTCTACGGTCGTGGACGAAGACTACGATGGACTCACGATCCGATATCAACCCCGATTGGGCTCGGAGGACCCTCAGGTTATTGGTAGAAGCAAATCCGCGAAACGATGATCTGGCTGAGTATGCACTTGCCGTGGAATTAGCGTGCAATAGCAAAGAAGCCAGGAAGTACGCCAAGTCACTTCTAAAGAAGAGGAGCTCGAATCTGCGCCTTTACAACTCCTACGCTCTTATAGAATCCCGCTCTGGAAATCATACGGCTGCCGAACATGTCTGGACGACCACACTCTCCATGAGCAAGACATTTTCCGATCATGACAGGGTCGATTGTGCCCTGTTGTGGCAGAGTTGGATCTGGGAATCGCTTAATGCTCGAAATATAGCCCAAGCCTCCCACCTACTTCTTTCGATACCACAGAACAGTGTTGATCTCAAGGCTGTGCCCGGCGCTTTTAGCGAAAACATGTTTAGCGCGACCAGTCTGCTGAAAGCACAGAATGTGAGTTCTATCCGCGTGTTTTATTGCACTACTAGCTAACGCCCTTCAGTCTCTTTCAGAAGCCCAAGAAAGCGCCCTGGTCACCAGAAAAGCCAGGATTTTTGTTGCCTGCACAGATTGTCTGGCTCTTCTTGCATACCTGTCCCATTCCTTCGATATGGCCAAGGCCTTGGAGGCATATAGCCGTGCAATTGCCAGTCTCAGCACGCTCCCTGAACGATTCTACAGTTTCCGGACCTTCACAACCGAGCTACTACACCAAGCTCGGGCGAAGCTGATCTACTATCATGTTCGCACCAGCAGCCTGTACAAACCGTCTCAGATTCGCTCCCTCCTAACCGAAAGCATCTCCCTCTTCCCCCACAACACCATATTCCTATCCCTCTTCGCCTGGAACGAATCCCGGTTCCGCATCGAAGAACGCGTCCGCGAAGTCGTCCGGGACGTCACCTCAGAGACGAAACAGCGCACTAGCCACGACCGCACTACCGCGCAACAAATCCCCATCGCCTCGCACCTCTTCTCGATCTACACTGAACTCGTCCGTCCCGTCTACGCAGGCTCTACTCTGCACTCCGTCCGCGCAGCCTTCGAAAAAGCCATCGGCGACCCTGCTCACCTCCCACACACAGGCGCAGGCGCACTCACAAACGGCACCAGCACCACATCAACCGCGCGCTCGAGCCTCACCCTTTGGAAACTGTACATCCTCTTCGAACTCTCCCGGAACGAGATCAACCGCGCCAAAGAAGTCCTCTACCGCGCTATTCGCGCCTGTCCCTGGTCCAAGGAACTCGTTATGCTGGCATTTACGCACCTGCGCGCGGACGTCGTCCGGGAGCGATACAAAGATTCCCCGAGAAAGGGGGAGGGGATGGACTTCGATGAGCTTCGCCGCGTGTATAATGTTCTTGTGGAGAAGGAGTTGCGCATCCATGTCGATATCGAGGAGCAGTTGGATAGACTTGCGGCGAGGAGGCTTGAGGATGCTGCTATGTCTTTAGGGCCGATTCAGATGCCCGACGATGCGGAGAGTGAGGATGAGCGTATGCAATTATAACGAGCAACAGCGCTTTCTGGTCCTTTCTGAGTATTGGGATGAACTATCATATTATAAGATAGCATTGTATGGGAAGCAATCAATTAACGATGGATATACGGCTAGATTCTGTACTATGATACATGCAGGTCCAAATACCTTATATAATCCAACCAAAACCAATAAAGAGAGTCATAACTCGTAACACGTTAAACTCATTCATGATACTCTGTTTTGATATCCCCTGCAGCTGATGGTTCTCTATTCAGCACAGCAAATCAGTAAGAAAGTCAGCAACCGAACGCCTAAAGACTAGAAATGTTCCTTCCAGAACTTGAACCTGACGTCCCTGGTGGACGCCGTCTTGGCTGCTTCACGGATCTGCCGGGCTGCCGCATTCGGGCCGCAAAAGTACACTCCGATCTCCGTCGTCATGGCCGCATGGAAGCCAGGCATATACGTCTGGTTATGCAGCCCGTCTCGCATCGCCGTAAAGAGCCGGTTAAAGTCGGGCCGGCCAAAGTTCGTGCGACTCCGGAGCTCAGTGAGCGGGTCGAGCTCCTGGCCGACGGAGTTGAGGTAGATGTTGGCGGCAGTGTCCTCGTCGAGCCGCTGCGTGAGGTAGGTGTGGATGCGCAGGAACTCGGCGCTGCCCTGGCTGGCAGCGGCGCTGGCGGACTGGGACTCGAGTGAGGACAGGAGCGCCTGGAACCATTCGAAGGAGGAGGTGTCCTTGCAGACCCAGATGAACTCGACCCGGCGGAGACGGCGGGGCGGATTCGGGCCTGAGCGGAGATGCCAGATGTTCTTGAGGATGGAGGCCCAGGGTGTGACGCCGATGCCGGTGCCGATGAGGACGGCAATTTCGTTCTCGAAGACGTCCTCGGCGGGGGCGCCGTAGGGTCCGTCGATGAGGAGCTTGGGCATTTTCTGGCCGTTCTGGAGGGCGACTTCGTACATCCCCAGCGGGTCTAAGCCTTCCATATCTCTGGCCTGTGCGGGGCCGCATCCGAGAGCGTCACCGAGCGCTCGAGTGAAGTCGCCCACTTGGCGGACGTGGATACTGATATACGGATCAAAGGGACAGGATGTGATGGTAAAGGGGTGCCACTGAGTGTTGGAAACCTCGGGAACCTGGATGAAGAGCCATTGTCCAGCTTTGTACTTCATGCTGTCCTTGCGAAACTGAATTTCCATCGCATCTAACGAGTTGTGAGCCAACGTCAAGCACTGTACAGGGGAGGTGTCGCTTACCATATGGATGACGGATCACCTTTGTGATGACGGTGGCCCGTCTGGACCGAATCTCGCGGTAGAGCCTCTCCAGGAGGTAGAGACCGCCCCCTACCAGTTCCCATCTCCAACCTTCGTAACCAAGGCAATGGTTCCAAAACCTCTTCCCCGCAAATGGGGAAATTGGTTCTGGAGTGTCTCGGACGAAGCAACCAGTCGCATGCGTGTAGAGGGCCAGCAGAAAAGGAACGAACAGGTGGTGCGTGTACCAGAAAGTCTCGAAGGACTGCTGTCGGATGCGATGGTGGGAGGTTGTATACATAAGCATCATGCACAGGAGCATGACATGGCCGCTGATTCCACCTGCCTGGGTATAATGAAGCTGGATAGCAGTTACGGGGCGGATTTTGTCTTTCTCAATGTTGTAGAAACTTCGGCGGATTAGCAATCTCCAGATAGCATTTCAACCGCGTCTGACTTACTTGACGTAATGCGAAGCAACGTGTATGATAGTGAAGATGAGCAGCGCATACGCTACCTGGCGATGAAACCATATTGATTCGTCGAGAGGCAGCCATCGAATTCGCGGTCTGGCGAGAGTAATGAGGTTCCGGCACATAGGTAGCACGATAAGAGTCCCATCAACGGTCAAGACCAGACCTGCAGCTCTGGAGAACCACACAGACCACTTCAGTGCATTGAGGGCGTCCAATTTGTGGTTTGAAGCTTGTATGTACCTGAACGCATATCAGTCTGTGTCATCCGATTGCTTGAGCTATATCCGGACGTACCATCCTGCGGCGAAGATACCAATATGTACACCCCAGAACAGAAAGTAAAACAAAATCTTAGATCCTGTAAACTGTGAGGACAGTGGGTGCCGCATGTTGATGGGGCAGAGTTGGAGGATGTGAATATCCGGATAGAGAATTGGGAATCATCGACCGGTGATGATCGATTACCCCCGGCTGGATCAATAGCAATGCTGCAACAGTCGACTACTTCTAAATTCTTTCAAATAAGGATTGAAATCATGAACTTAAGGATCGGCAGCCGGTTCCGGAGTTCGTGATGGATGTCGAACGCAGTCGCTTCAGGGGTGATAACCGAGACAAAGGCATGTACCGATATTTCTTGTCAATGTCAGATCTACCAGGGCTAAGAGCCTCCATATAGGACCTTTCGCGGTTATTATGGCCAAGAGAAAGATCACAATGTGGCGCGTAAGTTTGCTATGCCGGACAGGTTAACGGCCAACGCTACAGGGAGAGTGACCGGTCAAAGAGAGGCGAACAGAATCATGATCAAGAAAGTCTAATGGCATCAAAAGAAAGAAAAAGGGATATCATCTAGGATGGATGAATAGACAGATCCGAACTCGTTAGATAGAATAGGATGACGTTGAGAAGGTTTTTTTCTTTTTTTTTTTTTTTTTGCAGGAAGTTCGCTTAGGTCGCTTGCTTGGTTTCCCAGCATTGTGGTTTGGCTGCAGGGAGGAAGAAAGAGGGGGAAGGGGTCAAAGAAGCCACCAGCACAGGGAATAATACTAAATTAGATCTTCACTTGGCTAATGATCTTTCTAGATATTCTATATTTAAATCATTGACTGGACAGTGCTGTATTTTGGGTTTCTAGCACAAGTCAATACTAGTTATCCTGGTAAACGTCCATGCTGATACACTTGGCGTTTATTTACTTCTTAAATGATGCCTCCCTTCCAATCCTTCTGTGGCTGGCCAGTATCATCGCAGTTTCCATCCATCTAGTCCGTATAGGTACTCTTACACATTGAGCTTTGACGATCCACTGCCAATTACTATCATACGATGAATGCGTAAAGTGACTGACTGGACAGAGAAAGTCTTCCCGTGTGTCACTCTTCGGACATGATCTCTTCTAGGTCAATAGCACGCCGAGATCGTCAGAGTGTGATAGATGTCGTGCCTATCACGAGTCCTCGTTCGGACCTGCCGGCCATTATGGGGAATCGCCAAGCGCGTCTTTTCTCCTCGTCCTCTCGCTGCCTTTTTCCTGCTTCTCCCAAGTTCTACTGGCGTTCTCAAATCCTGGGGGCTCCATCAGCGAACCATGTGGTACCGGGATCAATCATGAACTATCCTAGCTAGTCGCTACTATGGTCAATATCTGGCGGTGATTTATTTTTAACTCTTGTGGGCCCGGATAAAGGCCCTCTGAGAGTCTCTACAGGCATCTAGGAGAGGTGTAGAATCGTCGCCAGTCCATCACTACTGGGATCAGCCAACTGGCCAATCAGAGCCATTCTGCAGGCGCTCATCTCCGTCACATTTATTCTAGCCAATCAGAAGACGAACTCTTGCATCTCAATCAGAACGCCTCCCCCAGATAAGTATGTCGATACTCTTGGTGCCTTGATGTTGCTCGTATTAAATTGATGCCAAATATAGTCATTGGGCCCTGTTGATGTCAGGTATCTAAATCCTTACGTCTATTCATAGATATCACCACCAATCCAAAGTTGACAATATCTCCGATTTTGCGCCGCTCTCGAGGGCCTGAAGAATCGTTCCTTAAAAGGAATACAAAACGAGGGGTAGGATTATCATAAGATATGCACGTGGGTTCAAAGGTATAGGCTCTGACACTTTAGATATCTACCTTGTTCCACTCAAAAACGAAGAACAATGAGCTGAAAAGACGGTGAGACGAACTCTGTTCTTTGACATATTCCGAAGTATAAGCTTGAATGGATCATCCCGAACGTTTCTCGACTGTCTCATATACAATAGGGTCACTCGCATATCAGTTTCTTAAATTCTCCTCATCGCTCTTAGAGTCAGAACTATACTGTAGTTACTGTAGAAGTGTCACAGTCAACTCATCGGAAGGAGGAATTTCATAGGAGTAAGGGACGTCTTGTTCTCGGTCGAGTCTGTGCGATTCCGTGACTCTACAATCCATTACTATTTTTCGTTTCCAGTAACTGAAGTCCGATATTCGCAAGATGATAGGCAGCTCGACTCGGTCTTTTGAGGATTGTTATCACACAGCTGCATCGGCCGCTAAAGCGTGTTCCCGCTAATCTCCTGCAGTCTGTCACGCTCTGTCTACTCCCCCATTCGTCCTCTTACTCGCTCATCCTGCATTTCTCATAGCGCCGGACTAGGGACTGCCAACCTACCAGCTTCAAAATCTCCAGGATTTGCCAGTTCGAACTCATTTAGTTTATTCGCTAGTGTCCATGCTCCCGCCCAATCGTTCATACCTTTTCACCCTCTGCATGAAGCAGCCAAGAGGGGCTTTGACGGCCTCGAGCGGCCTTTCGCTTCAATTGGTTCTCAGCTTCAAGGCGATTGATCAGACACTGCGCGTGTCACAATTGCTCTGACAATCCCAGAACGAGGAATCCTCAGCAGTGCCAAGTACTTATTTTTATGATTCTGCACTACTGCGCGGAGATATCCTCGCTAGTGATCATGTGGTCTCCCTCGCAGTGCTGATTTGGCACTGTGAGCTATCTATGTAACTAATCGCTTCCCCTCCCACTCATCCTGCCATCACGCTATCTTCACCTTTCTTCACAAGCCTTTGTCGTCTGATTTCGACGCATTGATCGTCTCGGTTGATGTGATATCCGTGATACAAACCTTAAATCTTACAATCCGACTCGACTCATGGGAAGATAAGAGTAATCATACCATTGTTCAACTGCCATGTCACTGCCACCGATCATTCCATATGTGAGACCAACTGGCAGAGCGGACGTCTGATTTCGGTCCACGACAACGCTGATCGATACTGAGCCTTCGATCTCTGCATGGAAGTCTTTCGCTGGACGAAAGCCTGCTTTTCAAATATACAGCGTCTTAGCCCTCAATAATCTCGATATCGTCGTATTCTTGCCTCGCAATGGGAAGACTGATTAAGAACCACTGGGCCCGCTTGATCATCCTCACCGCTGCAGCTTGTATGTGATTCTCTTATCTTCAAACTACAGCAGGACCAGCTGACACATTGGCCTCCTAGATCAAGTAGGCAGCGCTGTGGAGTGCTTCATCTGGCCCAAGATATTCTGGGACTTCACCACAAGAAATCTTAATGGCGCTGTAAAACCTACCCCGATACTCCAAATCCTCAACCTCATAATGGGCTTGCTCGGCATCGCATGGGAATGGCCGTTGAATCTCCTCGCTGGAACCCTACCACATCGCAGCATCGAAGTGCGACTCATCATGTACCCTCTCAGCGCTCTGCTCGCTGCCCTTCTCTACCAGGGGACGGATCCTGCCATATACTATCTGATCGGAATTGCGGTCTACTTCTGGGCGTACACCGAAGGCGAGGTGAGACTTGTGTTCGATTTCCTCCCATACATTATCTGACGAATGACAGGTTGTATGTCCGGAGCCGTGGACTTTGCCGAAACGACACTTCCTCAAAGTATAACAGTTCCAAGTCCTCTTACCGAAGAACTCTACATCTCACGAATTGATATACGACGTAACGAATCATGAACAGGAGGAAAGGCGTTGAAACCTGAAGAATTAATACTCCGCCACCAGGAGACCTGGAGCGATTACGGGACTGTAACATATGCCGCCGATAGAGTGGCCGGTCTAGAAGTCGAAGCTGCAAGAGCCAGTGGTTCTTGCTCATGTATATATAACATTTACCTGGATATATAGAGAGGTAATCAAAGTTACTGATAAAGCATCTGTTTCGCTCAGCTCAATGCCAAACCTCGGTAATGGTCACATGATCGCCAGTGTGCCTGAGTGGCAAGGTCGCCATGATTGGATCCCATTACAGGATTTCCCAGGGTAGATATCACACTGGACAATCCAATGCAGACTTCGCAAAATCATCCGAAGTCCATACCTCTCTAGTATCAGGATTGAAGGGTCTATGAGCTCCCTGCTAGCCGTCTTCTGAGCACTTCTGCGAGGCACTGACTCCATCACCACTAATCCGCTCCAGCAAGGTCTTGGTCGTCAACAGCAGATATGTCGCCACCTGCTCCTGTTGCTGAGGACATTTCCCAAACATATCAAGATGAAGCTGGCATCGACGACGAACATGATGTCCCGGTGAACAAGAAGACCACTTTCAACGGCAGACTGAACCAATACTTTCATGCATCCAAGAACGTCGCACCGACACGGGAGTCGCTGGCAAAGGTGGCCTCAGCGCCGAATCTCTCGACAGCAACGATCAAGCGCAAATCCGAGTCTCAACCAGAGTCACCCAGTGATCCATCCAGTAACGCCTCGACACTTCAACTGCCCATCAAACGACCACGAACCCTCCGTTCAAGCCGATCCTCACCCGTAACTCCCAGCCTCACACCACGCATCACCCGCTCGCGCTCCGCTTCTTCCACCACCTCGCTACCTCCATCAACACCCAACTCGCCTCTCACACCTTCCACAACACCCGACGAGACTTCCCGCTCTAGGTCCCGCCGCCGACAACCCTCCACACCAGCTACTTCCTCCATCTGCCTCCTCCGCGACACTATCCCGCCGAATCTCACCCTCCTCCTGGTCGGCGTAAACCCAGGCATCATGACCGGCACCACGGGGTTCGCCTACGCACACCCCTCCAACCTCTTCTGGAAACTTCTACACTGGTCCGGCATCACTCCCATTCGCCATCCGCCCTCAGACACCTACCGCCTCCCGGAACTCTACAACATCGGAAACACGAATATCGTCGAGCGTCCAACGCGAGACGCAAGCATGCTGAGCAAGGCCGAGATGAACGCGGGCGTCCCCGTGCTTGAGGCCAAGGTCGCGAAGCATCGGCCCGAGGCGGTCTGTCTCGTGGGCAAGAGTATCTGGGAGGCTGTGTGGCGGGTGCGCAAGGGAAGACCGATCCGCAAGGAGGAGTTCCGGTATGGCTGGCAAG